CATGTGCTCAATTCCATAACTACTGTTTCCGAAGTCCCATGATGATAATTCAACTTGACTTTGCGATCCAAATTCTGATCCAGTACCATTAACATCTTTGAGTTCACCAGTTTGAGCATATGAGGAAACAACTGGCAGCTTCCCTGTATTACCATCTATAAGACTTAGAATGCGATTAGATTAAAGTATGATGTTAACAAGTGGACACATCAAAGGGAGCATAAGAAATAATTTACCCGAACAGGACACATTTAGGCATGAATTAGACTGTTGGCCCTCAAAAATAGCATGGAATCCAGAACTTGCCTGCTGGTTGTACACTGCATTCAGAGTTTGAAAGATTACATAATTGGAAAAGTTAAGCAGGTAGCTGTATGAGTTAGTTGGGTGAATCAGGTCAGTCAACACATGGATATGTGTTTGGTTGGATCTTCCAGGCAGGAAACAAGTGGAAACAAACACACCCTTACAAGACTACCTGACTCTACATCCTCATATTCTGAAGCTTTGCCACTGGCCATGTTTACTGTGTCTTCTGTTGTCTGTGTAGCCATTTGGTAACTGTAAGAGTGATAGTTGGATGAAACAGAAGTGTCCATCTCAGAATTCTGAGCAACTCCATCGTCTGTTTTCGGGGAATTTGAAATAGCCTCTGCGGTCTCTTTGACACGGTAGAAGCTCGCCCTACTACTCCCCTGCTGAAAATATTTAAATGGAATCTCGGATGAGATATTTGGCGAATGGCAGTGAAGCACGAGACTATTATAAGATATATGCATCGCTCAGATCAAAACTGACCCTTAAGTATCACAGACAAGAAAAGACTAATCAAGACAAAGAGTCAAGAGAGTAGATCAACCAACCGTTACTTCTCGATAGTGGACAAGAACTATGCGTGATAGTTCCCTGCAGCCAAAAGAATATGATTGACCCAATCGATTAAACCAAAATGTAGAAACACGGCTAAAGATGTATACGAGCAATATGAATTAACCATGCATGCATGTCACCACTACTAGAACTTATGAGCTATGGGGCAGTCAACATCAACGAGAGATTGTAAGTACAAAAAAATAGGAATTCATCCAGGAAAAACTGTAAAAGTAAACCACTCCACAAAGGTAAATCAATCAGGAAAACTGATTAGCATGTGGTGCCTACTGTAAAGAGAAGGTACATCATCCTCTCGGCAGTAATTTTGTTGCCAATGACAACTTCAAGAACACTTAACTTAGTTAAGGATCCTTAAATCAGCCACTCACACTTGGAATGCATCAATTTATATCCGAAATACAGTCAAGTAAACGTGAACATACTCTTCAAGCATCCAATATGTTCTTCTTTGAAAATTCTCATTTCCTTCTCCATGTGCATAATAGCAATGCAGCACATCAATGCTGCCAGACTGAAAGAAAACAATATAGTTACGGTGTTTAAATTCCATGATGTAGTGTCTGACTTAAAAGTATCCTCCCCCCCCCCCCCCCCCCCCGGTTCAAAAAATTTGAGGGGAAAAAGACATATACCTTGAGCCTCTCATGAGCTTCTTTCTTCCTCCAGTTATGCCCATCTTTTCTGAAATATCTCATTACCTTGCGGTCAAACAGGAAAAGGGAACCACCTACAATTGAACCACAATAATGTGAAGTAGAGCCACTTCTGCTGTTTCCGTATAGAATGACCAAATCATTTAGCAAGTCTGGGAACTCATACTATTTCCTTGCACCAAGCAGTTTCACTTTGTTATACGGTCTTACTCCATAATTACGAGAATCGATTAAAACTAATGCTAGAAATCACTTCAATGGCAAGCAGTCAGGAACCACAAAACAACAGAAAACTAATAGTGTCCCCAAATTCCTGTTTGACTTCATCCACCTAAGAAGTCAAACCAGAAAATGACTTAACTCACTTTACCTATTGGAAAGTAAGAACATTATCTGATGTTGATTTCAGAAATGCTTAAGCTAAAGACCATCTTGGACTTGTTGCTTACTTGTACTTATACTCCATCAAAATTTCTTACTTGGTGGCCTGTTTTGGGGCTCTTGGGCAATACGGAACTTGTCATGGTTGCGCAGAATTTCACAGATTTCTGCAGGCCGTAGCCACCGATGTTGCGCTTCCAAAAGTATTTGATGAATACTCTCATTCCACCCTGCAGATTACCACAGTTAACAACAAAATATCAACACAAAACGAATGATTCCTGCGTAGTGGCAAGCAAAGCAAAACAAATACATTCAAGCTCAATCATCCCACATCAAAAGGGGAAACGCTTTCTGCTTCAGTATAGAAATCCACTGGGGTTGACTTGGAAGGGGAGAACGGAGAAGCAACAGCGAAGAACAGGGCGAAAAGCAAATACGAACTCCCCACTTCAAGAAATTTGCTTTCAGTTGAATCCGACTTTGGGAGTGAAAGCTTAGAAGCGAATATATTTATTTACCTAGATGGTCATCAGGTAGAGACGCAGCCATGAATGAATTCTTTTCTTTTTCTGTAGTCACGCTGAATTCAACTTCATCTCAGTCAGTGAGAATAAGTTAGCTGTAAGAGCGTCAAGTCGAAAGCTTTTTATCTTTATCTGATGGAGGAACCCAAATTGAAAATGGCGGAAAAGAACTAGGAGAAGGGGGGAAAAGAAATCGATTGAGAGATATGGGAAGAAACACTCAGCCGCCGAAATGGAAAATTTTCGAACAGAGGACAGTTAGCTGACGTCGGGCGGTCATCACTTTGGCCACGTCATACTTAGACCATCTCCAAAAAGAAAGGGAAGAAAGCTAGGAGTATGACTGTATGAGCTATATTTGGTTTTTTGCTCACTAAAAAGAGTTTGCTCAATAAAAAGAGTTTTGCTCCAAAAGAAAGCAAAAAGATCCAACTTTGCCTTTTGTGTTAATATCTATTAGTGTAAATTTAAGCACCTTAATTAGATTATTTTTTATTATTTATATATATATAGTTTTAATTAATTAAGATGACATCATTTTTTTATAATTTTGATAGGGCTTTTAATTTTGACATAAAAAAAGTATTACTGCAAATTCAAATATGATGTTATCAATGACAAAAAAAAATTAGGTTCAAATAGTCATTTGACGGATTGAGTTTGCTATCAACTACTCATCCAACTTTTGTGAGATTGAGTTGTGCTATCAACTATTCATTCAACTCTAACCATAAATGAGTTGTGTTCATTCAACTTTAATAGTAAATGAGTTGTGTCATCAATTGTTCATTCAATTTTAATCATAAATGAGTTGTGCAATCAACCGTTCATCCAAACTTTCATCTTATTATTATAGAAGGAATCATTTCGTTGTTCTATAAATGAACCCTCAAACTTGACAATTACGCTCATACACCATTGAACCTTCTTTATTGCAAAAATCATTCAACCTTGCATTCGTACATCTCTCTAGCCACCAAAACTCTTTTGTTTTCGTTCCCTGATAGAGAAGCCGATGAGAGGCAAAGAGAAACTGATGAAAGACAATAGGAGTATGTGTGTCAACTAGAGCGTGAACGTATACAAATGTTCATGATGTACGCAAACCATCCTCACCGACATCAAGCAACTTCAGCTGGTGAACGTTCATCAACATGAAAATCAATGAGACGTAATAAGCAAGATGGTCACAAGCACCTGATGCAAGATTATTTCAACCCAAATCCAACCTATGACGCTAGGGCCTTCACAAGACGGTATCGGATGTCCCATACCGGGGAATTAAAAAGAAAGATCTTCGACAGCGTTTCTTATCACAACCCTTTTTCGTAGCAGAACTCCATAAATTTATGGAATTGGTTACTCAACCGATTCATGAATGATGTGGTTCAGTATGATGTCTACTTCAAGCAAGGGAAAGACGTTGCCGATCGTGACTCTTTATCCTCACACCAAAAGCTTACTAGTACTTTCTGCATACTTGCATTGGATGCTCACTAGACTTTTTGGATGAGTCATGTCAAATGGGTGAGAGCACCATACCGGAGTGTCTAAGGAAATTCTCCATCGTGCTTGACAGGGGCAGACCTAAGGGTAGGGGTTTGTAATGGTCCGGTCCGTACTAGACCACACCAGACCAAACCGACATTTGGAACGAATCGTACTGGAACCGAGTATAATGCGGTCTAGTCCTTGGTCATATGAATTTTAGGGGTCGTTTGCTTCAAGGATTTATAACGAGGGATTTGTCATGGATTTGCTAATTAAAAACCTTGGAATTTATTAGAGATTTTGTGCACTATGGATTTGAGGAAATCCTTTATTTGTTGAGCTATTTTTATCATGGATTTGATGGTTTTTCAGCTTGTCTCCAAATCTCAGGGTATGAGGTGAGATTTATAAAATCGTGGAGCCTATGAATTTGGAGCAAAAAAACCCAAATTGGTGGGGTCCACAGATTTACCTAAATATTTTTTGACAAAACAAACAATGGATTGTGTGTAAATCCATGATGGTTGGTTTTTTATAAACAAATCCAATCTATAATGCAATCGTTACCGAGTCATAAATATTAAAATAGACCGTTATTTGTCAATAGGTATAACCTTTCCTAGGTTTGCATATAGTTGGCTTGCCCTCTCTCTCAGCCTGCATCTATACCATCGAATCCCCACTTTCTATCTCCCTATCTTCCACCAACGGCTTTTTGTAGCGATTCTCGCCACTTCTCTCGCTCTCTCCCTCTCTTCCGTGCTCTTTATATTTGGAAACCTGCAGTGGAGTCGTTTCGTTTCTGTAGGAGTCCAATCCAAGCAACTACTTCAATTCCCGTGAAAGGAAAAAGGGGGGAAACGTCGGACAATTGTTTTGCAGCACAGGGTTTTTCCTTCGTTTTGTTGTGGTGGACAGAATTGGTGTGGTTTAGGCGGGGATTTTGACCACGCAGATGCAGCAGATTGTTAGTCGATTCTGTTTGCTGCTGGTTATATGCTCTGTTGTTGAGTTCCACGAGAGGATTCTGCGTCTCTTTCTGGGGGTTTTCCTGATGGAATGCGCCGCCTGCCTCAAGTTTTTGACTCTGATCAGCGATTTCCGTGGTGGGTTCATTGTGTTTGGTTGTTTCTCTCCGTCTTTCAATTTCCTGTGGCTTTTTTTGCTTTTCGCCTTTGGGTTGAAGCTGCTCCGGGTCACTTTCTTCGGGATTGGTCTGCTTCAGTTGTTTCTGTCTGATGTTAGAGTCAAGTCAATTGATCCCAGAAATGGGTTTTCTTATAGAAAAGGTTTCGATTTAGCATTCCACTCCAAGGTCGCCTCTTTCAGGACCGGTTCCGCGAATTGCTTGGCGATTGAGGATTCAAACTATTCCGACTCGGTGAAAGAGGTTGTGAATTCGAGGAAAATCGATTATGTAGAGGAAGATGAGAGGACGGAATGTTTCGCTGAGGAAGACGATGAATTTGACGTGTTGGCATTGAGGAGATTGGTTAGGAATGAGAGACGGAGAGCTGTGGGGGCTCAATTGGAGCTGGAGAAGGAAAGAATGGCTGCAGCATCTGCTGCTGATGAAGCAATGGCTATGATTCTAAGGCTTCAGAATGAGAAAAGCTCCTCAGAGATGGACGCCAAGCAGTACCGCAGAGTGGCGGAACAAAAGCAGGAGTATGATCGAGAAGTGATCCAGTCCCTCCAATGGATCATCATGAAACATGAATACGAAAGGAGCTTGCTGGAAGAGAAGCTCGAGTTATGCAGGCAACAGCTGCAGCGCTGCCTGAGGAGAGATGAACTGGAGGAACTTGACGCGGCTCTCATCTCATTAGGTTCAACCTCTGATTGTGGTTTGGATGAGGAGGATGAATTGAAGATGGGTTTTGCATCTCCTGCAGCTTGTGTTCAGACAAAAGTTTTTCAAGACGGTTTATGGACAGAATGATGGTGAGAGCGAAGCAGCATGCATAACAAACAGTTCATGGACTGGGGAATGGAGCATTCTTGAATCCAGCTCTCCACCATGGTCCCCACTCAGACAAATATTCGCAGTAATATCTTCTATACTCATCATTTTCTATCTACTTTTCCTCTTTTGTACATCCACGAGACTCATAGTCCATTCTACTGCCTAGTTATTTGAACTGTCTGAGAACAGCTGAACCAGTTTGTTTGATTGATCCCCTATAGTGGGAATTCAATTCAGCATTTGCAGCCAGGAACAGTAGTCTTTCTTCTCTTCTTGTAAAGTTACATATCTCAATTTCATAACTTGAAGTCCTCTTTGATTATTTTAGATTGAACTGAGTGAGTGAGTTCTCTCCTTTTCTTGAGTGAGAAATGCATTCATTACATACAAGCATGAGGAGGTACAAACAAACTTTGCTAGGTTAGATGGAACAGTCACACTCTGATCTCTCCAGTTATCCCCTTCTGGAAGAAACTTTCTTGATTTCATTTTTGTTCACTTGGGCCTTTTTGTCCTTGAGTGCTGAGTTGCACGTGTTTCTTTTCGTTTGATGTCCAGTGTAATGTCAACTGCAACAACACAAACCAATCTCAATCAATCAATGTGTATAATTTCCATTTTGATCTGCTAACTAAGAGAATGATATTCATTTCAATATCATCACTTGTTGACTGTTGTTTGATCTTTCTGCTTGGATCTTAGCAAGGAGATCCGGTTTTTCTTTATGGAAACTTGTGTCATTGGAACTCTGGAATTGATGGAATTTCTTTCAAGGTTGTCAACTGTGCTGGAATAGCTACAAAATTTTCCCGCAATCCTTTGCATGAAGAACCCTAATTTCGGCCCTTTTAGAAGGAAGATATCCATGTGCAAGAACATTATGGACTGAGGCAGCACCTCACGTGGCGATCTTTTTTCGTTCTTTACTAACTAGGACGATGGCTCAATTGGTTATGGGAGCATGATGAAAGTGGGTATTCATAAGAAACCGCTAAAAACACATTTTTGGGTAATGTCAAAGAGGGGGCCATTAGATGAAAACGAGAGTGAATTTTTTTTGTCCGAGTAAGATCAAGAAGATAGTTAGAACAAGTTGAATCGCTATTTGCCGTCCGTGCTTTTACTATTTGTCGCCTGTAGTTACAAAAAATTGGACAATTTTGCCCCTTCTCCATTTCAAAAACCCTAAACCTATCAATTCCCCCACCCTTCCCTCCCAAACCCTTCCGCCTCCTCCCTCCCAACCATCACCGCCGGCCACTGCAACCTCCTTGCCGGATCGGAGATGGTGGTCGTCGCCGGGCACAAAGGCGCCTGCAATCGGACAAGGTCCGCCCACCGACGACGGACGGGGTCCGCCCACTCACGACGGACGGGGTCCCCCGCCCTCGTCGGACGGGGTCCGCCCTCCCACGTCGGACAGCGTCCTCCCGCCGGAGACGGACCGGTGACTGGCGTACGTTTCCCAGCGACGGACCTGTCGTCGGTGACTTTTTATTTCCCAAAAATTGATTAATGATTATGGATTCATAATTAATACTAGTTTTTTGGCCCGCGCTTCGCAGCGGTAAGAAACTAATATATTTAAAACTTCATCAACTCATTTAATAATTTAGTTAAAATCAAATAATTTACAAATTAGCTTGGGTACGATACCTATATAACTTTTACACTCGGTCTTAATCCTATAGAATAATTACGTAATATATTTAACTAATTAATAGATAAGAAATAACTATCATACACGCAATAGATCGATATATTTTTTTTTAAATCTCATATCCAAAACTTCCTAATTAGCACATAAAGTGAAACAACTTATAACTTCATTTCCACATCTAATCATTCAACTGAAATGGATTCACAAACCAATCCAATTTATTTATAACTATTAAAATTGTAATTATAAAAATAATATGTAAAGTATATATAAGATAATCTAAATATTCGATATTTCATTCCTCTTAATTACTGTAAGAGAATTGGAGAGGAATTTGTTAACCAATGAGATCGAAAAATTTGTTGTAAACTTAGTTTGATTTTTAGTTGGAGCTATGTCTCTCTTTTTTGATATAGGGCTTCCGTCAAAATATTAAAAATTCTCTCAGACACTTATTGGATAAGTCACCCATTACATGGCACTTGCTCAACTCATTTTTATTCCGGATAACCATAGTATCTTTGAATGATAAATTGGTAGTTTTTTTAAGATAACCTCTTTTTGCTATGATTGACAATGTTTTCAACCCTATCAAAGTTAGACCTCTCCTTTTAGTCGAGTTACTTTCTTCCAACCATAAACTTAAGAGATCACAATTATTTTGTAATTCTTAACTTGAATTGAATTGAAATGTCAGCATTGGCTTACATGTATTACTGTGAAACTAAAAGGATTTGCCAAATACGTTTTGCTGTATTACAAACTAATTATACTAATAGTGTAACATATGCTAATGTCCTCCTATTACATTTTGATCCGGGTATATGTCTTTAATTAATGTGGTTGGACAATTTGAAGTTTCTTTAGGAATATCAGACTAAAATCTAATTAGCCAATAATTGACCAATACAATGATAATATCAGTTCATAAAATTAGTAGATGGAGATAATTGCTAATCTGAGCAAAATAGCAATGCAAGAAAATCAAATTGCTGATTAGTTTAGTTTTTCTTCAGATAAGTTCTCTAAACGCTTGCTGATAAAGAAGTTGTATGCTTAGAACACATGTCCAGAAATCAGAGGTTCTGAAAGCTAGGCTAATGTGTTAATAGCTGAAGTTGAAGAAAGAAAGACCATCACATCCACATTCCAATAATTATTATATATTTATTGTCTTCCCCTTTATTATTACATCAAGTCTAATAATATGCCTTGTAAAAAAAATTCTAATAATATGCATGTTGGACACTTGGGTTAAGATGGGGCACAAATAGGAACATGTGTCGCCACCCATGTTTGCCCTTCCTCTGCCTCTCAACAGTCTCTTCCTCAAGCACACATTTATAATATACCGAGCGGGGAAATAAGAATCACTAAACTATCTCTTCCTCAATTATGAAGCAGAAGCACCCTTAAAACATGATTTTTTTTTTTGCCTTTGGCGGTTGCGAGGGATGGAGAGATGGCCTTAGCCTGGATGATGAGGCTTTCTATTCTTCCTCATTGTGTTGGATAAAGAGAAATAGGAGGATTTGTTAGGATTAAGGGAAATTTGAGGGTCTGTTCTATGAATGTTTGTCTTTTAAAGGGAAAGCGGAGGCTCTGGTCTAGGTGCCGGCACTCTAGGAGTTCGATGTCGTCATTGGGCTAAGCTCGGTACCCAGATTTGTCTACGAAGCCCGCAATCCCTAGTTTTGATTTCCCAGAGAAGAAGATATTGATTTCTTGAAGAAGGGAGGAAGTTCTTCGGAAAGAAGAAATGGGATTTTCCGGGGAAATTTGGCTTCGCAAGTCTCCCGCCGGCGTGCCGTTTAGCGGGTTCGCGGAGGTGAGAGAGAGAAAGAAAAAGGTTTGAGAAGTGAGACCCATCAATATCTTTTTCTATTTTTTTAGAGGAGGGTCACCGATCTGGTGTAGCTGTTTTTTTGTGAACTCATGAGTCTTATAAACCAAAAATCCCATCAACGGCCACGTTTGGCCAGCCCAACATATGTACACATAGGCTCACGTTAATTATACTGCATCCAATTATTCAGCCCCTTTGTGAACAGTATAGTGCGATTATTTCGTAATGAACAGTGAATTGCGTGTTTTAGTAATTTTTAACTGCTTGCGGCTTAATAATTCTTATTTAGTTTTTAAATATTATATTAAATTATTACTAAATACCAAAATTCTTTAATTAACCCACTAATTCATCCATTTCCGCAATTAACAACCATTGATAATAAGGAAATAATGAACACGTCTTTCCCTAATTGACAACCGTAAAAAAATTCCTTAATTATTAACACGTATAATTTTATAACCCACATCTAATGTCATTTCCTTAATTGACATCCGAAAAAAAAAATCTTAACTAACATGTCCTACTCCATGACTCACGTCTAATTTCATCTCTCCAATTAATAATAAGAAAAAACACAGAATTTTGAAAACCCACATATGTAGAATTTCAAAATAGCTGATGGGGATCAGTTATTTCAGAATCCCTCATTATTTTTAATTCTTTTCCACAAGTATCCTTTCTCCAGCCCAACTCTTTCCCTCGTCCATCTCTTCCACTCCACTCTACCCCACATTTGACTTATCCCCAATTCTTCCCTGCCGGCGACCTGATGCAATTATCGTCGTCACAACCACCACCGACCATTCTAATATGCTCTGTTTCGTTCCGTTTCCCATCTTTTCTTCTTATCCCCAATTTTCATCTCGTTCTAGCTTCCATTTCCCGTCTCCGTTTTGTCGTTCGTCCATGGATGGAGTGAGGCAAACGGCGACGATCTCCATACGGGAGAGGGAGACGAAGTGACCATGGGGAGACGAGTGAGGAGGGCCTTCATGCACTCGTCGGCTTCCTTTTCTGCATCTCGCTTCCTTCCAACCGCTGTCGATAAGATTGGAGAAAAGGACAAGAAAAGAGGAAGAGATTGCGGTTGTGATGTGAGCTCCAGGCAGATCCGAGAGAACAACGGAGACGGAGATGACCAGATGAGGACCCATCACTGTTGATTTCCCTTTTCCAACTTTCAATTTTTAGGTTTGGGCGTTCTATTTTTTGGATTTCAAAGGGTCAATTCTAGGTTTGGGGGCTTTATGTTCTGGGTTTTGTAGGGTCGATTATGGGTTTGGGGTTGTGTTTTTTGATGAACGGAGGAAGAAGCTTCTATGCCCTGTGCGCCGACGAAACAAAAGTTGCAGAGCTGATTTCTTTCTTGTGGTGGTTGCAGTCGGCAGCCAATTTCATTTCTCAAACAAAAGAGAAAGAGAGTAAGAACGATGGAAGGAGGACAAATCTGTACTTTCATTTTTTATGTTAAAATCCTGAATTTATTCCAAACAAGTTATTTTACTGAAATTCCTCATACAAAAAACCTAGGTTTTTAAAATGAGAGATTTGATTAAAATCCCTCATTTTAGAAAACCCTCATCCAAACGACCCCCTAAAGTGATTATTCCTTCAACTTCTTGCCTTAATTTCGTTCCCCATAATTAACAACATAAAAATTTTCCTTTATTAACATATATGACCTTTATTCCGCACATAGCCTTAATTACCAACCGAAACAAATTTCATTAATAATTCACATTTAACACAATTTATTAATATTTATTTCTTTAATTAATTTCCTCAATCAAAGTGCTTTTTAATTTTAGTTCCGGCGGCGACCGTCCGAACTTTGGCGTCGCACCACCCATTCCAGCCCGAAGTCCGACCGACCCCGTCCGATTCAGTGATCGGACCACGTCCGACACTTTTGCGCGGACCCCGTCCGATAGTCGTAGGCGGACGACGTCCGCCGGCGGTGAGCGGACGGCGTCCGTCGGCGGCGAGGGGACGAGTTTTTTTTTTCCTGTTTCGTTTATTGGGAGGTCTGGCGGTTGTGGGTTGGGAGGTCCGGCGGTCGCGATGATGTGGTGGACAGTGGCGGAGATGATTTGGGAGGTTCGGCGGCGGTGATGATGTGGTGGACGGAAGTGGAGATGGTTTTTGGTGGTCGACGGCGGAGGTTCGGCGGCGGTGATGATGTGGTGGACGGAAGTGGAGATAGTTTTTGGTGGTTGGCACCGGAGGTTGCACTGGCCGGCGGCGATGGTTGGGAGGGAAGAGTGCGAGGGTGATGGAATGGAAGGAGTGTTGATGGGGCAAAAATGTAATTTTGAATTAATACA